ACCATTTACAAGTGTCCTTACCAGGGCTGCACGGCCGTCTACAGAGGAGCAGATGGCATGAAGGTCAGTTCAGGGTTTGTTCCTGTCCCCGGCCCGTAGCTTTTGAGTGTTTCCACACGAGGAGAGCATCTCCAAGAGGTTTAACTCTCTACGTAGCCGCACAGGAGGCAGTGAGCGACAAAACAAAGCCGTCGGAGGCTTGCTTTGTGTGCTCCCAAAGGCAGCAGGAGCTCCTCCTGCTCTGGAAGTAGGGAAAAGCTGTGCTGTGCCCTGCTAAAACTGGATTGCCAGGGGGTAGGTTTGGATGCAAGTCTGTTTTTTGACAGTTTCCTTTTGGGGGAGGCTGGGAGTTTTTTGCCCCACAGTCAGATCTGTCCTTTCTTTACAGAAACACATCAAAGAGCATCACGAGGAGGTGCGGGAGAGGCCCTGCCCTCACCCCGGCTGCAACAAGGTGTTCATGATCGACCGGTACCTGCAGCGTCACGTGAAACTCATTCATACAGGTGCGGTACGACCACCCGGGGATCCGTGGGGTGGGGGGGACGTGAGGCAGGGGGAGGCATTCGGGCTCTGCCGGGAAGCTCGGGCAGCCACGCGTGGGCGTTTCACGTGCTCAGAAGGTGGCAGAGCTGACGCCTCCCTCCCTTTCTCCCTTGCAGAGGTACGGAACTATATCTGCGATGAGTGCGGGCAGACCTTTAAGCAACGCAAACACCTCTCAGTCCACCAGATGCGGCACTCGGGAGCGAAGCCCCTCCAGTAAGTGCACACCCACCCTCCCTTTGTCGCTGAGAAGAGGGATAAGAAAGGGCAGCACCTCAATGCAAAACGTACTCAACACAAGATACTTGATGTGAGAGAGATCTCGAGGGGCTGGAGCGAGTGCAGAGCAGGGCAACGGAGCTGGGGAAGGGCCTGGAGAATAAACCTTACGAAGAGTGACTGCAGGAGCTGGGGCTGTTGAGTGTGAAGCAGAGCAGGCTGAGGGGAGCCCTCCTCACTCTCTGCAGCTGCCTGACAGGACGGGGGGCAGAGGTTGGGGCTGGGCTCTGCTCCCGGGGAAGGAGCGACAGAACCAGAGGGAACGGCTGCAAACTGCAGCAGGGCAGGGTCACCCTGGGCAGGAGGAGAAACCTTCTCCCAGCAAGAGGGGTCAGACACTGGCACAGGCTGCCCAGGGAGGGGCTGAGTCCCCACCCCTGGATTGAGATGTGGGGTTGGGGGAGATGGTTTAGGGGTGAGCTTGGCAGCGCTGGGTTAGTGCTTGGACCTGATGATCCTGAGGGTCTTTTCCAACCTGAACGATTCTGTGGAGCTCTCGCGGCTGCTGCCTTTAGCACAGGGTCATTCTGTGATACAAACCCTGCCTGAACCACTTTAAGTGGTCATCAGCAAAGCTCCAGAGCTTCCTCTTGCTGAGCAAATCTCACACCTCCTTCTCCCCCTGTCACCCCCTGGAGTTCAGCCAGTGACCCTGGGGAGCAGAATCGCGTTGCATGACCGGGGTAGTTGTAGATTGTACGAGCGAAGCAGCGCAGAGGCCGCAGGGGCTGGTTCGGCGTGCTGGAGAGCAACCCCCGCGGCTTCAGGCTCAGTGCTTTGCCTTGCAGGTGCGAAATCTGCGGGTTCCAGTGCAGGCAGCGAGCGTCGCTCAAGTACCACATGACCAAACACAAAGCCGAGACGGAGCTGGAGTTTGCCTGCGACCAGTGCGGGAAACGCTTTGAGAAGGCCCATAACCTTAACGTCCACATGTCCATGGTGCACCCTCTGATCCAGACTCAGGACAAAGCCAAGCCACTGGAGCCAGAGCCCATCCTCCTCCTCAATACTTCAGGGACTTCAGAAAGCCAGGCCGTAAAGCCAGAAGTGACAGCACAGCAGGAGCCCACCTGAGGGGAGCGACAGGGAAGCTTTCCCGGTCCAGCCCCTCTAGAAAACCGTACGCCAGAGTGGAGAGATCTGACTATAATAATTCCCTACTGAAATTGCCTTTTTTTTTTTTTTTTTTTTTAGTCTCCCCAAAGAACTCAAGTGGAATTAGCTTCAGCTTGCTCAGAGAAAAAGCTTTTGTTATCATGCTGTGATTCCTCCATGCTCACGTCCGATTCAGCAGTGTTGTACTAAGAGTTTGTCTCACCCCAGGGGCAGGTTGGCAGCGCCCCTC